CTTCCTGCTAATGCACACCCTGACCGGGAGCAGATGGTATCTCAAATACTTGGGTCATTGCCATGCACATAGGAGACCTAGACTGAATTCCAAGCTGCTGGCTTCAATCAGGCTCAGTCAGGTTACTGGCTGTTGTGGGAAGTGAATCAATAAATGGAAGTGCTCTCTCCCCCATTTCTCTCTCCTCCTTTCAAATAAAATGAGGGAGAAAAAACCATAGTAGTAAGTTATAGGACAACATGTGGCATCTAAGTGTAACTGGAGTTCCCGAAGGAGAGAAAGCAGGTATCAAAAATTCCAATAATGGCTAAGATTTTTCCAAATTTGATGAAACTATAAACCCACAGATCCATGCAGCTCAAGGAATCCTAAGCACAAGAAACAGGAATCAATTGCATCAACTAATGTTATGAGCAATTGCTCAAAATTAACAGGAGAAAAATGGCACAAAACATAGCACACAGATTTCTTATAGGAAACCAGGGAGAGGCAACACAGCAACAGTTTATAAAATATTGAGAGAATGGTAAAAACTCCATCAACTGAGAATTCTACACTCAAGCAAAAATACATTTCAAAAATGACGCAAAACTTTTTCAAATATACAAAACATCAAAGATTCCATCAAAAGCAAACCTGCCCTGTAAAAAACATCAGAAAAAGTCCTTCAGGCAGAAGGACAGTTAACAGCAATTGGGCAAATGGATCTCAATAAAGAATAAAGGACTTCAGAAATAGTAACTGTGGGTGTAAATAGTATGATGTTTTCCTTGTTGTTTGCTTCCTTAAAAGAGAAATGTTTTAACAAAAATAACAGGATGTGGCACTTACAACATATATGAATGTAAATGTTTGCCAACAAAAGCACAGCTGCTAGCCAGTCGGACGAAAGGTGGAAGGGAAGACAAAATATCAGGAAGTAAAACTGGACTATAACTAGAGATATGGGAAATTGTACGAAAACTATGAGGAACACTGAGTACAACTCAATGGTAATAAATATGGGTAGAGAAAATGGATTGATTTTCTAGAAAAGCATATTCTCCAAATTGACTTCTTAGGAAGTAGAAAATATGAACACATCAATAACTGCAGAGAAAACTGAGAATCTGAAGACAGATCCAGACAGTTGTAGAAATGAGTTTAACAATTATCGAAGAAACAAATCGTTTCTACAATTCTTTTATTTTTCAGCATAGTAAAAGATAAGCTTACCAATTTATTTTACAAGGCTAGCAGAACCCTAATTTCAAAACCAAATAAATAAACGATTCTTGGAAATGGTCACTCATGAATAAGATCCAAAGTGCATTAAAGGCACACTATATCATGACATATTCTTAAAAATAAATTTTCATTTTACTTGAAAGGCAGAGAGAGAGGGACAGAGAGATTCTTCCATGAGCTGGTTCACGCCCCCAGATGCCTGCAATAGCTGCAGATGGGCCAGGTTAAAGCTGGGAGTCTAGAACCTAATCTGATCTTCTAAGTGCGTGACAGGGAACCAAGTACTTGAGCCAACATCTACTGCCTTCCAGCGTATGCACCAACAACAGGAAGCCAGATCAAAAGCGAAGGGACTCAAAACAGACCCTCTCACGTGGGATGCAGGATCTTACATGCTAAGCCAAATGTCCCTGCAACATATAGTATTTATGACAGAATGCAATGATGGCTCAGGGTTAGGCAATCTATTTAAAAAAAAAAAAGCTTTTGCTGAATCCCTCTCTTATCCAACTAATTGATAAATGTTGTTTCATGCATACATCAAAACCTTACCAGTATTACATACATACAAGTATATGCCATGCATTGGATCCTGAGAACTCCATGATGAACAAGCTATGGTCCCTGCCTTTATGGAGCTGTTTAGAGAAAAGATACAGACAAGTAAAAATGGAATCATACATAATACAGCGTAAACCTACAGGAGTAATATCAGGAACTATGGGAACTAACCTAACTTTTAGAGCTCTGGAAAGGCTTTCTCAAGGAAGTAAACTTAAAAACTGAGCAGTGAAGGACAGTTCCTAAGATGACTGCAAAGGGGATGAAGGGACAAGAGAAGAGCAAAGGCAGATGCCATTGCACAGCATCATATTAGAATTTCACAGCGGCCAGTGCTGTGGCATGGCAGGTTAAGCTACCACCTGCATCCCATATGGGCACATTTGAGTCCCAGATACTCAATTTCTGATCCAGCTGCCAATGTGCCTGGGAGAGCAGATAACCCAAGTGCTTGAGCCTCTGCACCCACATGAGACCCGGAAGAAGTGCCTGGCTGCTGGCTTGGGTCTGGCGGATGCGACCATTTGGAGAATGAACCAGTGGATGGAAGATCTGTCTATATAACTCTTTCAAGTAAATTTTTTTGAAGAATTTTGTACTTGTGGTGACAATTTGGCATAATGGTTGAAACACAATGGGTTACTGGCATTTTGCATAAAGAGTATCTGAGTTCAAGGCCTGGCTATGCTCGATCCCAGCTTCTTGCTAATGAGAGGCAGCAACTGAGGGTTCAAGTGGTGAGATCTTTCTACCCTTGTAAGAGATCCAGATCGAATTACCAGCTCCCGGTTTTGGCCCAGCTCAGCCCTGGCTGAAGCAAATGGGAATTGTCTGTTTTTCAAACAAATAATTAGATTTTGTATTTAATCAAGCAAAAGAAGGTACTAAGCTTTAGTTCAGGTGATAGATTCACTTTTTCTGTTCTTTTTTTAAGATTTATTTATTTGGGCCGGCGCCGCGGCTCAGTAGGTTAATCCTCCACCTTGCGGCACCGGCACACCGGGTTCTAGTCCTGGTTGGGACACCGGATTCTGTCCCGGTTGCCCCTCTTCCAGGCCAGCTCTCTGCTGTGGCCCGGGAGTGCAGTGGAGGATGGCCCAAGTGCTTGGGCCCTGCACCCCATGGGAGACCAGGATAAGTACCTGGCTCCTGCCATCGGATCGGTGCGGTGCGCCGGCTGCAGTGCGCCGGCCGCAGTGCGCTGGCCGCGGCGGCCATTGGAGGGTGAACCAACGGCAAAAGGAAGACCTTTCTGTCTGTCTCTCTCTCTCACTGTCCACTCTGCCTGTCAAAAAAAAAAAAAAAGATTTATTTGAAAGAGTTACAGAGAGGAGAGGCAGAGAGAGAGAAGTCTTCCATCTGCTGGTTCACTCCCCCAATTGGCCGCAAAGGCTGGAGCTGAGCCAATCCGAAACCAGAAGCCAGGAACTTCTTCTGGGTCTCCCATGCAGGTGCAGGGGCCCAAGGATTTGGGCCAACTTCTACTGCTTTCCCAAGCCATAGCCGAGAGCTGCATCAGAAATGGAGCAGCTGGGACTTGAATTTATGCCCAAACGGGATGCCGGCACTGCAGGTGGCAGCTTTGCCTGCTATGCCATAGAGCCAGCCCCTACTTTCTCTGTTCTTACAGGGCATGAAATTAATCTGGGGAGATTATTAGTAGGAAAACATTAGAGTGCTAGTGAATCCCGTAGAGATAATTATCCACTCTAGAATGGCAGTAGGCATGGGGAAAGGGGGCATACACAACAAAACTAGAAAACAATGTAAAAAGCATTGGTGGGTCACTGTATTGGGAAGGACGGAATCAAAGACATTGGGGTTCTGAACAGGTGTCATGTATAAACATGGTCAAATAAGCCTGGTAAATACTAGGTTAACTATAAAGAGATTACTTTACTGTAGTACTAATAGAAGCATTTATACTGTTTTCCAAACTCATTACTGAATCCATACTTTGCAGAACATCTTCCAAGATTAATTTTCCATGGAGCACTGCGGGAGGAACTGTTTCTGCTCTTGTAGCTCCCAACAGTTAAGTGAGTAGTTTCATCAACTATATTCAATTTTTCAAGGTTGTCTTGTTCTATCCTATTACATAGTACATGTATCTAGCTTGGTTACTTTCAACTGAGTGAAGCTGACATGAAAAAGGTTCACTGGAATGCAACAAACTCCCTGAGAAAGCCATGAAGAAAGACCACTGAATCAGGACACCCTGTGAACCCACATGGCAGGATCTGGCCCACATGTAAGTTACAATCAAGCAATCTCAATCTTTGCTAATGCATACAAATCCATGGAGTAAGTTCTCACACAGAGAAGATACCTGAAAATGAAGGCTCACTGGAAATAGATACTATAAAACTGCTTAAGCAAATCAAAGTTTAAATCTTAACTGTATATGGAGTAATTAAATAGCTCCATTTACCTAGACACAGAAAAACTGAATAAATTTAGAAACAAAAAATCTGAGTGTTACAGAAACTCTTAGAAATCAGAGACAATAAGTTAATCTATAGTGCTCCAAACTATAATCCATAGGTCACTAAAAGTGTGATTCTAAAACATCAGGTGCAGTATACACAAAAGACATGTATCAGAATGCTGCAAGTAAAAGAACTGACATTCTTAACACCAAGCAATCACTGAGTAAAAGTACATTGTGGCCTCACTGTATGCAATGTTTCAAAAGTTTGTGATGCCAAAAAAAAAAAAAAAAAGACAGTTTTGGTTTTGTTTTGTTTTTAATACATTAAAAAGCAACATAGTACAAATGTAGTGGCATTAAAAAGGATCCAAATTTTTAAAAGAATTTTTATAAACAATTCTGTAATAAAAGGGCAACTACATTTTGATACATAAAAGTTTTGTCAAACAAGATTTAAAAAATTTAAAATCAGCAAAGTGTTTAAATTCTTTCCAATGTTCAAGAAAGAAAAAAAAAGCAAACTGTACAATCTCCGTAACACAATGTGTCCTTATATGCACATCCTGGATACTCTGAAAATGTTAAAATTTTTAGAATATGAGGCAGCACTTCAACTCTTCATGGATGCTTCCTCCAGTAAGTATACTTTCAAACACTTTACTATTTTATCTGACTATGCATTGACATGTTTTTCTTCCTGAAAAAATGGATCTATATTAACACTGTTACCTTTTAATGTAAAAATATATGAGATATTCAACTTCCTGAGTGACTTCAGCCATACATCAAACATGATTTATTGAATAAATTCCAAACTTCAGAATGACAGAGCATGTATAGATTTATACTTATGTGTTCAAACAGGGTAAAACTAAAAAAGCACATCACAGAATTTAGTTGAATTCTTTAAGTTACGCAATATGATTTATCCCCAAAGTTAACCATTGAGTTTCATCAAATAAAATGTTAATGAGTCACTGAAATGTTGTGTTTTCTAGTTTATTACCAAAATACAGATAGCCATTTCAGACTATCAATTTGCATATTTTCTATTATACACACCAAAATCTGATTCACTAACAAGAAATTTCTTGCAATACAAAAGGATAACAGATAATTAAAATATTTGCTTTATAATTCAAACAATCTATATAATCCACCCTTCCTAAACTGTCTAAAGAGATGTGGCACTTTCCTTTGCTTAAAACCCTGAGGTGAAAGGTTATTAATGTAATAAAAGTAGAACCACAATCTTCCTTTCTGTATTAAACTGTAGCTATCAGCTTTAAAAAAATTTATAAAGAAAGGTGGCAACTTGTAAAGCTGCTCTGTACAATTTCTAAACAAAATATTTCCAGATCAACTTAGTCAAAAGTGCCTAAAATGACCCTATAAAACATCGTCCTTTTAACACCTGTCAGTGCCGAGACGAACGCCATTTTCCATCTCTACTACTGTCTCTCCTGTTATCATAGTCATGGCTCCAGCCATCATGGTTCCTGTCTTCATAGAAGAAATCATCGCGGCTGCCTCTGTAGTGGCGGTCAGACCCGTGATCAGAGTGCCGCTGCTCACGGCTGTAATGTCTGTCTGCCAGGTAGGGGTGAGAATTCTGCCTGCCTTTACGCTGCGACGACGGGGTATCCTGGCGCCACTGGGAGCTTGACGACGGGATAAAAGCATGATTATGGGACTGAACTGATGGCGAGAATCCTGACTGATCCACATGTGGAGAACCAAATTTCCCACCATATGACATCTGTCTCAAAACACTGTTCATCTGAGGGAAAACAAAGAGAAGGAAATGTTAACTGCAAATATTTCAAGGCATCAAAGCCAATACTCACATGTGGTCCAGTTAACTAAACAGATAAGAATAAGCAAAATCACTCTTGTCTGGAGGAATCCTAAGTTAAACAGAACAGAACAATACAACAGTGTAATTCATCCCAATGTAGGAATACAAGGTAATGGTGCATAAATACTACACCTGGCTCCATCAAAGATAAAATTTAGAAGGGCAGAAGTCATACAAAATGATTATAATGCTAATCACTGGGTAATAAACATATAAAGGAATAGGCATTCAATGAAGATGAAACATTATCTGAATATTAAAAGGAATATTTTAAGGAAAATGATCTGAATATTTATAGAAGGAATATTTTAAGGAAAATATTTCAAAGGGAATATAGAACCAGGAAAGGAAACTGCACAAATAAAATTTATAAGGAAACACAGAATGGCTGAAAGCAAGCAAGTACTTCAGGCTGAGACAGATTATAACCTTAAAGCACTCACCAACACAAGGTCAGCTTAGAAAGGTTTAATGGACTCAGATGATGGGAATGCCTAAGAGAAAGCTGACCTATCTTATAAGAAATGGGAAGTTAAAACAGAGCTATTATAACAACTTGGAAATGGTGTGCAGGGTGGGCTAGTTAGGGAGGAACAGAGACATTGATAACTGACTAGGCCAGTGGTTCCCAAAATCAACCTGTGGATAGATGTTTTGCACACTTGTAAAACACAAAAGTCTGGGAACCACAAACCAACGTCATGATTTGGGGGAAGAAATGAATGAAAGTACTGCAAACCAAACAAACAAAAATGGACAAAAAGACAAGGTGAATGAGTAAACAATGGAATAATAAAAGCTAAGATTTTAAGCCTAATTTCATGGTAATTTTTTTTTAATGCAAAGTTTAAGAAAGGACTGGTCTAGACACTTACGCATATTAAAATATTAAAGGGGGTGATAACAAGTCACTCAGGATAGGCAGCAAGAGCAGCAGACAGAATCTCCAGTATTTGCAATACATAAATCCAAATACAAATGTAAAATGTAATTCTATTTCTACTTATCTTCGGTTACTAGGTATATGTCAGTCTAAGGAAGACTAAAATAGGTGATCAATATACAAAGATCTAATCTTTGCTAACCTTAACAAAAATCTGATAAGTTGTTAATTTAGGAATTTACAAATTTATACTTCTGAGGAAGTTAATTTTAAAAAAGTCACGTGATCTAACCTGAATATTTTAACTAAGTATGATTTTTTTTTTAGAACTCAAGTTGAAAAAAAGTCAGCCTACCACTGCTTGTCTCTGATAATTTTCTGGAGATGAGAAAGACCTCTGGATCATCTGTGCTGATGGAGCCACATTATCCACTGTCCTTTCGTATCTGCTATAAATAAAACCAACATACAATCATTCATTCAGTAAATATTTATTGAACACCAATCATGAGCAGGACACTGTTCTCAAAGGGGAGAATGAATAAGACAGAAATGGTATCTGCTCTCATGGAGTTAGAATACAGACAAAAGGACTTTTTCCCCCACAATTTTAAATCCTATAACATATGACAGGGGTTCTATTTTAGGTTGGCTGGTCAGGGACAGCCTTTCCAGAAAGGAGACACCAAGTGAGTGCTGAATAACAAGATTATTTGTAGGCAAAACATTCTCAAGTAAGGGAAGAGCTAGCAGAGAAGTATGCAAACCTCTGTACCAAATTTAGTTTTTATAAACAAAGTTTTATTGGACCCACGCTCTTTTATTTTTATATTATCTGTGGCTACTTTGTTGCTACAGTGGTAGAAATGGAGTGTATGGCCTGGAAGTCTGAAACATTAACGATTTGATCCTTCATTTAAAAGAAAAATCTGTCAATCTATGAGCTAGCACAAAGGCCTAGTCTAAGAAAAATGAAAAGGATATGCTAAACTAGATATAAAGGAGGAAAGAAACAATAAAGAAAGGATAAAATCTAGATTTCTAGCTCGGGCAATTTGGTGGGCATTTACCGAGGCAGGGAAAAGGATCAGGATTTAAGAGGGTTAGGAATTGGGGACGGCACCGTGGCGCAGGTTAATCCTTCGCCTACGGCGCCAGCATTCCATATGGGCACAGGTTCTAGTCCCAGCTGCTCCTCTTCCAATCCAGCTCTCTGCTATGGCCTGGGATAGCAGTAGAAGATGGACAAGTCCTTGGGCCCCTGGATCCACATGGAAGACCTGGAAGAAACTCCTGGCACCAGCGCAGCTTCAGCCATTGCGGCCATTTGGGGAGTGAACCAACGGAAGGAAGACCTTTCTCTCTGTCTCTCCCTCTAACTGTCTGCAACTCTACCTCTCAAATAAATACAAAAATCTTAAAAAAAAAAAAAAAAAAAGAGGGTAAGGTATTATAGTTCTAGAACATACATTTGATATTAATTTTAAGTGCCTTATTCCTCACTCCTTAAAGAGGTAACTTCTGTATAGAAAAATGCACTCTAGCCGGCGCCGCGGCTCACTAGGCTAATCCTCCGCCTTGCGGCGCCAGCACACCGGGTTCTAGTCCCGGTCGGGGCGCCGGATTCTGTCCCGGTTGCCCCTCTTCCAGGCCAGCCCTCTGCTGTGGCCAGGGAGTACAGTGGAGGATGGCCCAGGTGCTTGGGCCCTGCACCCCATGGGAGACCAGGAAAAGCACCTGGCTCCTGGCTCCTGCCATCGGATCAACGCGGTGCGCCGGCAGCAGCGCGCCGGCCGCGGCGGCCATTGGAGGGTGAACCAACAGCAAAGGAAGACCTTTCTCTCTGTCTCTCTCTCTCACTGTCCACTCTGCCTGTCAAAAAAAATAAAAAAATAAAAAAAAGAAAAAGAAAAATGCACTCTAAACTTTTAAAAGTAAATAATAATAACAAGAAGAAAATAAGAAAAAAAGGGATTATTTTAATATTTTTTAAAAAATTTCCTTGAAATCAACTGATTAACCTTAAGTTTAGATTTTTTAATTTTTAATTTTCTTAAATTAGGTTTTATATCTATATGCTAAGGGAGAGAAAACATCATTCAGTGACATGTTAAAAGTATAAAAATATAAACACTCTACCATTTGACTAACACTATTTATTTGTGCATTTTCCCCCATAAAATTCAAAGGGGAGGGAGAACTTTTACCCCTTTTACCAAGCATACATTTGAAAATTCAAGAACAGTGATTGGAGATGCTTTAAATTCCAACTGTACCAAAAAAATATTTAAACAGCACTCATTAATTTCAGTTGGTAAGAAAGGATATGGGGAAGGTAGCATTCTTGTATTTTTTCCATGGCTGTCAGCTTACAATTCCACTTTTCCATATCTCATTTCTTAACATCCATCCAATTCTCTCAGCTCATGACACCACACAGTCCAAACCACCAATCTCACCCCAATAGCTTCTTTGCTACACTTACCACAAATAGCAATACCTTACTAGCAAGAGCTTCCTAATTGGTTCTTCCATTTTCACTATGGTCCCTCCAGCCCATTCACCCATTATCTACAGCCTCTATATATAATACTGGTAACAACTACTTTCCATTTCCATTCCTCACAGTCTTGGTACACTGGCTCCTTTCAGTTCCCCATCCATCTATAATACATCTCTCTGTCAAAACTTTCTCAAGTCACCCTTTTACTCTCTCCCTGGAGAACTTAGTGTTGTAAACAGATAAATGCATATCTTCATCTAGATTTTAAGCTCCACTAGGCAGGATATGGTAACAGCTGGTCTCAATCATGCTGTATGGGTTTGAATCCCAGTCCATTGCTTATAAGCAGTTCAAATTTGGGTAAGTTAACCTCCATTCCCCATTTTCTTCACATACAAGGTACAGATAAATAATTGCTACCCCTTAGGATTGCCGAGAGGAACAAATGAGATCATATATGCAAAGAACAAGTATTTGTTAACTATTTCTTGAATGAAGCCCACGACTGATTTAATAGCTCTAAGGAAGGAAAAACTGTCCCTGATAAAATAACAGTCTCCCCAAAGCAAATAAAATCACTTAAGTAAGTAAACACAGTAACTTTTCGGACCCTGTGTAGCTGCAGGGATGTTGAAGAACATGAGTTTTTTTCCTTACAAACCACAGGACAAGAGAAGTAAGACATGCAGACGATCACACAACTGGTAGAGGCTTACCTGAAATTCAGTTCTATGAACTCAGTGCAGTCCACTGCTTACTAATCAGTACTTTTAAACTGCAAGTAACAACTAATTAATGGTCTTAATATTAATTTGGGGGGCCGGCACTGTGGCACAGCGGGTTAAAGCCCTGGCCTGAGGCACCGGAATCCCATATGGGCGCTGGTTCTAGTCCCAGCTGCTCCTCTTCTGATCCAGTTCTCTGGTATGGCCTGGGAAATCAGCGGAAGATGGCCCGAGTCCTTGGGCCCCTGTACCCACGTGGGAGACCCAGAAGAAGCTCCTGGATCCTGGCTTTGGATAGGCTCAGCTCCAGCCATTACAGCCATCTGGGGAGTGAACCAGCAGATGGAAGACCTTTCTCTCTGTCTTTACTTCTTTCTGTAACTCTTTCAAATAAATAAAAGAAATCTTTAAAAAAAAATATTAATTTGAAGTAAAATAGAAAACAGTGAGCTGGGAACAGTAAAGAGAAGGGAAGTTTTAAGAAATCTCCGTCCTTAATGTGTTGTACTACGAGAATTAACGGTAAAACTAGTCTTCAAATGGTACTTTATACTTAACGGTAAAACTAGTACTCAAACAGTATTTTACACTTCATGTGTCTGTGTGGGTGCAATCTGTTGAAATCTTTACTTAGTATATACTAAATTGATCTTTTGTATATAAAGATAATTAAAAATGAATCTTAATGAAGAATGGGATGGGAGAGGGAGTAGGAGATGGGATGCTTTGCATGTGGAAAGGTGGTTATGGTGGAGAAAAACCACTATAAACCAAAAGTTGTACTTTCAAAATTTATATTTATTAAATAAAAGTTTTCTAAAAATAATTTTTTAAAATTTAAAAAAAATTAAAAAAAAATTTTGTTTCAACTATAGCCATGTTATATATAGGGATATGTTTTTACAAGTGACCATAAACATAGATGTATGTATCTATTCTAAGAGGACACAGCTATATATATATGTGTGGGTGTGTGTGTGTGTGTCTGTGTATTTTAAAAGGACAATGTATCCATTATATATATAGTCTTCTTGGAAGAATACAAAAGTAACAATAATCCAACATGGCAACAGAGCAGAACTGAAGTCCCCACATAAAGAAGGAAGCTACTCACTCATGCATTTGAAGTCATAACTTTATGAAATTCTTGATAAATGATTTTAAGCATCAGTGAGAAATATTACCTGCTAGGAGAAGTGGAGGTAGGGCTTGAATTTCCAACATGATGCTGGGGATATGACAAACTGACATCCTGTGAGGCATGACTACTTCCTAAAATGAAACAATTTGAAAAACTCTTCTTGGGAGAACATTTAATTTGAACTTCTGTCTCCCCCACCCCAAATCACTCCAAAAAGATACACAATCTAAATGATATCTCAAATGGTTATGAACTACTTTACAGCTTCATCAGACTGAAATATTTAAGTATACAATACCAGATATGCACAACATAGTGTTCCAAACATGACACTATCCAGCATATAAATAATCAATACCGCCTCTCCGTTTTAAGACTGGATACAACGAAAGTTTCATCTTCACATGATCGAGAATCAAAATTTGTAAAAATTAATGGCAAAGCAGCCAGGAAAAGTATTTTCAGAAAATAATCCTCACTCCCTTTTCAAATTCAAGTCTCTTTAACAAAGTTTGTGTTTTTTCACCAATCCAAAATAAATTTTAAACTCAATCATCACTGAATAGTTACCTGATCTAAATTGAATTTTGATGGGCCTTCCAAAAAGTTTGATGCCATTAAGTAGATTCATTGCATAAGGAACAGACACCTCATGTTTGAAATTTACAAATGCGAACTGCTTTGGTTTACCATCCTTATCTTTTGGAATTTTCACCTTTATTACTGGCCCAGCCTATAAACAAAAAAGTTATTAAAATTTAAACAAGACAATTTCAGGAATATACTCAAATTTTACAAACAAAAGAGACTGCAAAGTCTAAAAGCCACAGAAATGTAATCAAGAACTTCAGAAATCGATCCATGCGGACTTCCATTTTAGTTAGTGTAAAAAATCCTACTTATGACTGAGAATTCGACTAACTTAATTGAGGAACTGGAAAAGCAATCAGTAAATTTAGTCTTCCCAGCACTATGTGCCTTTTTAACAAGGTGACCAACAGCCATCACTTTATCACCATGGAAACGAATGCTTCCCAAAAGCAAGATTAATCAAACAGCACTAGTTATAGGGGGCCAGGCCTGGGGGGAACGGGACACTTAGAATTTTCCGCATGTCTTTAAACACAAACACTACTATGTATCGGAGTCTATTTTAAACGCTGCAACATTATCATCAACTTAAGTGACAATAGATGGTGACAAAGAAACGGAAATGCAACTTCACAGTCGGAGGAACCGAAGACAAACGACCTTACAGGGAAGATGAGAGGGACAGGAAAAGGAGAAGGCACCGGTCAACGAAGATCCCACACGTTAAGCCCCTAGGACCCCTGAGTCTCTCCCACGGGAATGCTTGACGGACGGTCCCTCCACTACCTGGAGTCGTCACTGTGGCCCTGAATTAACCAAGGCGACACCCAGTGCACACCTCGTTCCTAAGCGCGCCCCCACTCTAAACGGCCCACCTGTCCCGCGCCCAGCAGGGGTGGAGCGGCGCCCGCCATTGGATCGGGCCCTACCCGAGCCGGGAAATGGAAAGCAAACAGGGCGCTTACCTGGTGGAAAAGCTCAAACAGGAGCTCCTCTGTCACTTTAGTTTCAAGGTTGCCCACAAACAGAGTGCGATCCGCTTCCGCGGCCGCTGCCCCCATTTCAGCGTCGCCCCCTCCCAGCCCAGGCCGAAGGGTCCGGCCGACGCCCCCACTGCGCAATCTCGGAAGTCCTACGTTACGCGACGCGCTTCCTGACGTCACGGACGTACGCGCCCGTTACGCTCGCCCTGCGTGGGCGATTGCGCATGCTCGCTAGGAGGCGGCTCGTTCGCTGCCTTAGGTATGGCTTCTAGAGGAGTTCGTGTGTCGTTCTGTGACGGGCTGGATTAGTCTGTCGGGTTGCGAAGGGCCTGCGAAAGACGTAACTCAGCCACTGCGGGCAGTGTTTGAAGATGGCCCTGAACTGTGTGTCCTTGTCCGCTGGCGACCAAAGAAACAGGGCGGCCTACCGCGCTCTCCCAGGCGACCGCAGCCCGTCGGCCTCCGCGTGGGCCATGGTGTCTGGAGACGGCTTCCTCGTTGCCAGGCCTGGGGCGGTTCGTCCGGGACCTCGGCAGGCGGTGCGACCAAACATTCGAGAGAGCCGTCGAGTGACCGCGAGCGGCCGCAGCCCGCCCAGCCTTATAAACGGAAGAGACCCGGATGCCCGGAGCCGAGGCCACCAAACCAGATTCTCCCCGTACCCGCCCCGCGGCGTTAAACTGGACCTCCTAAGAAGCGTGCTGCAACAGCGGCTGGTCGCGTTGGGCGCTGTCCTCGCATCCCGAATAGCAGCCTGAAGCGAATGCCTCCTCCCAGTTAGCTTGTGAACAAGGCCTCTGTATAACCGCCTCGGTGTAACCGCAGTCTTTATTTCCATCTTCATATAAAAGGACCTACAAGGAAAATTGTATCACTAATCGATTCCGATGTGGCCAGGATGGTTAGAATTGGGGAAGACTTAGTTGGTATTCACGGAGCTGATCAAAAATCCCACTCACTGTCCACCCTTCTTCACAATTTTCCAACAAGCGATCAGAATTTTCTCCTTTTCCACAGGCCTTCCTCCCCTCCCTCGCTGATTCTCCCACTGGAAGACTTCGTTCCACTTTCCTTGCCCTTTTCCTCTACCTTTACTTGTGAGATAAGACAAGTCGCGCTGATTTATTTTTCCATCTTTTCCTCAGCATTCCCATCTGCCCCTTCACTTTTCACCTCAGGAATATCTACCAAAAAAAAAAAATTTACTTTGCTTTCACATCACCTAACCAATTGACATTCCTTTTGCCAAAGGTTTCGAATGAATTCTTATATTTGTCATTTGATTATTTGCATTCGATCCAGATTCCTTGATATGAGTCTGGTGACTCAAGGTACCCTGGCAGAAACACCAGCCATTTCTTTTATTCACTGGAGCATCTTCTTGAAATCTGTTTTTATTAATTCAGCCACTCACCAGTGCATGGGGGTCTTCTCTGTTGTATGCATTGTGAGTGAACTTGACACACTTCTGCCATTTAGATTAGGTGTGTTTTCTAGATGCAAGGGGTGGGAGGAGGCAGCTAGTAAGTAAATAAGTAATTGCAACCTTGGACTATTTTATACACAGGAATAAAAATAAGTCCTGGTCGCAGTGGTTTTCCATAATACTGCACTATTTTGGTTCTTCCCTTACCTGGCTGATCAGACCTTATTTGCTGATGCTTGTTTTTTTCAGTTAATATGTTCCTTTTTTGTTTCTGCCAAGGGTCATTTGGCTGTTCGCAAAATCATTCACAGGCCATACAAAATTATCAATTAGCCTGTTATAGATGTATTGACTTTCAAGTCCCACCTGTGCTTGTCTTGGCAGGGCCAAACCAAATAATTTCACAGACTTTGTATGGCCAGTGGGCCAGGTGTACACCATCCATGGTTAAAGGGTGGCATCCAGAGAAGGTTAATGGGTTTTGTGAGTGCCAACCGTTTATGCAAGTAGGTAGACGTTTTCCCAGTGGACTATTGCTTGTTTAGACTTTCTTAAAATAATTATTTTCAGATAAAGTAAAATCACCACACACCACACAGTAGTAAATTTTTAGGACCACATATTACAAAAAAACGGGGATAAGTCAGAGTGCTTCCAAAAAAGAGGGATTAATATAGTGAGAGATGCGAGTTGGTGCTGTGGCATTGTAGGTTAAGCCTCTGCCTGCAGTTCAGGCATCCCTTATGGGCACTGGTTCAAGACCTGGCTGCTCCACTTCTGATCCAGGTTCCTGCTAATGCACCCGAAAAAGCAGAGGAAGATGGCCTGAGTTCTTGGGCCCTTACATCCACATAGGAGACTTGGAAGAAGACTAGTTCCTGGCCTTGGCCTGGCCTAGCTTTGGCTGTGGGAGCTTGCAGCCACTTGGGGAGTGAATCAGTAGATGGAAGATTTCTCCTCTTTCCGCATAGCTGCCTTTCAAATAAATCACATCTGTATATACATATACATGCACACAAATAGTAAGAAATATAGCTACCAGGGTATAGAAAGAATGATAGAAAGAATAATGAGAATGATAATAGCTCCCATTTGTTGTGTGCTATGTGCAAGGCAATGAATTAGGGATTTTTATTCATTGTTTATTGAGATTAATTTTGAGGATTTATTCTGTGCCTACAACTGTGTGCAATAGAAACATAGAATGAAGTGGTAAACAAGATCGATAAGTCTCTGTGCTCATATGCTGTTTGATTCTCATAGCAGCCCAGTTGTTGTGAAGAACTGAGTCTCAAATGAAGCTGACTGTACAAGGACATATATCTGGTAAATGGGAGAGCTTCGTAGCCTTTCAGCAGTTTTCTCATCTGAACTATGCAATACAAATATTCATAGAGTGATGATTTCTTCAACTTTCCCAAGGATAGTGTGGAACTAGTACTATTACAAATATCTATAAAAGAGTTATTTCAAATTATGCCAATAGATACTTTAAGCTGAGTGTTATAACAACCAATAGTTGAGGAAGATGTCCCATTTAGGAGTTTAAGACAGGTAAAATAATACTGAATACTGAAGGTAAGGTAGGCTTTCCTAAAAGTTAAGAGGTGACTAAAAGTTAAAAAAAAAAAATCCTACCTCGAAAAGCAATACATTAGTTTCAGAAATTTAGAATAGAGGTTGAATCCTGTCAAGGATTTTGTCAAAGGAATTACAGTGTGAAATAGGACTAGATGACTTCTTCACTTTCTTCTCATTTACTCTGATTCTGTACTTTTAAAAATACACTTGGTTTGGGGCTGGCGCTGTGGTACAGCGGGTTAACGCCCTGGCCTGAAGTGCCAGCATCCCATATGGGTACGGTTCTAGTTCTGGCTACTCCTCTTCCAATCCAGCTCTTTGCAATGGCCTGGGAAAGCAGTGGAAGATGGCCCAAGTGCTTGGGCCCCTGCACCCACATGGGAGACCTGGAAGAAGCTCCTGGCTCCTGGTTTAGGATTGGCACAGCTCTGGCTGTCGTGGCCATCTAGGGAGTGAACCATTGGATGGAAGACCTCTCTCTCTGTCTCTACCTCTCTCTGTAACTCTTTCAAATAAAGAAAATAAATCTTTAAGAAAATAATTTGGCTTAATCTGGAAATGGGAACTTAGAGGATAAGAAGGGGAAAATGATCATATGAGCAAACCAGGACACTTGAGAATTAAGAGGGTACAGCAATCACGCAGAGGCAACAGACATAAAAGGGCTGTGCCAAGTATATCAGTTATATAATAGTCACCTAGGAAATAATTTTGCAATTAGATTACTGTTATATCCCTTTTCAGGCAAAAGAGACTGAGACTTGTAAATGAGGGAACAAAAGTCTCATAACAGTACATAGAAGTACAAAAGAACAAGGAAGGACCAAGTGGGAGTAACTTCATTTCTGCCTGTTCTTTCATGGGGTGATCAGGAGTAGGGCTTTGCTTGAGTAATAGTGGATGTGCCAGAAAAAGAAAATGATGTCATTTGTTAGAGTTTTGTTTTATTTGGCAGGAGGAGAACTTTGTTCACATAAATGTGCCATTATTTAAGTTTGATTCAATGAATTTCTAATTTCTGTTCTTCACATCTGCAGTAGCATCCAAATGACAGTGTGTTTCTCCAGTCACATTTGTGGAAGCAGGAACCAACTTAAAACTCTCTAAATGAAATTGTCTAAAACAGGGACAACTGGATTTTCCCTGGAGCAGACAACATTATTAAAATTTCATATATTGGGGCACAGATGGATTTTTAAAATTTTTTTTAGCTATTTATGTTTTTAGATTTATTTGAAAGGCAGAGTTGCAGAGAGGTAGAAGCAGAGAAAGAGAGAGATGTCTTCCATCCACTGGTTCACTCCCCAAATAATCACAATGGCCAGAGCTTCTTCCACGTCTCCCACGCGGGTGCAGGGGGCCAAGGACTTGGACCATCTTCTACTGCTTTCCCAGGGCATAGCATAGAGCTGAATCAGAAGTGGAGCAGCCAGGACTCCAACCAGCATCCACAGGGGATGCTGGCACTGCAGGCGGCAGCTTTACCCACTATGCCACAACACCAGCCCTACAAGTGGAATTTTTTAAAAAGACATTTATTTTCAAAATAGAGTTACAGAGAGAAAAAGAGATTCCATCTACTGGTTCAGTCCCCATGTGGTCCCAGTGGCCTGGGCTGGGCCAGGCTAACGCCAGGAATCAGGAGCCTAATCCTGGTGTAGCAAACACATGGGCCATTTTCTTCTGCTTTCTCAGGTGCATTAACATGGAGCTGGATCACAAGTGGAGAAACCAGGACTCAAATCAGCACTCATATGGGATGCTCATATGGAATGTATACATTGCAAGCTGCACCACAATGCCAGCCCTCTGAATTTTTATTTAATGTCATTGATTAATCATAGCATGTTGTCATTCTAAAATAGGTGAATTCTAAGAGTAGTCCAGAAAAGTAGTAATATTTTTGAAAAGGTGTTATAACCTCTGTTTTTGTTGCCCCTACTTACTGTGTTGGTATGAGCAACTGGCTAGCATGAGTTGAAGTGAAATCCTGATAGAGTATTTACATTCTCTATTCATCAGCACTGAAGCTCCCACAAAGTGTATCTGTTTGGGATATAGAAAAGGAGACCAGTAAGACTGTCCCTGAGCTAGATTTAGTGGTAACTCTAACAGGGAAGAATTAGAAGGTAGAAAGGAAAAGAAAGGAGGGGGGTGCATTCGATGCCAGTGAGTACCTGTTGGAGTCCCAACTGCTTCTGATGCAGCTCTCTGCTCATGTGCCTGGGAAAGCAATGAAAGATGGTTTGAATGCTTGGGGCCCTGCCACCCAGATGGGAGACCCAGATAGAGTTCCTGGCTCCTGACTGCAGCCTGGCCCAGCCCGGGGTCTGGTGACCATTTGGGGAGTGAACCAGTAGATGGAAGATCTGTCCTTCTCTCTCTGTAACTCTGTTTCTCAAATAAATAAATCTTTAAAAATAAATAAAAGAGGGAGAAAAATGTCACAGGAAGCAAGAGTAAGTAGTGGTCAGAAAACTCTACTGCCTTTCCATCAAAATTAGTTATATGTCCTCCATTCAGTCTGGTGGATTTGTACAGATTGCACTGAGGTACAGCTTCTCAATTTCTACAAAAGGCATTCCGATTTTTCCTAGCTGACCAATTGTATTTTTTTAAAGTATTTATTTATTTGAAAGATAGAGTTACAGAGAGGCAGAGACAGAGAGAGCGAGGGAGCAAGAGAGAGAGAGAAGTCTTTCTATTGGCTGGTTCACTTCCCAAATAGCTGCAATGGCCGGGGCTGTGCCAGTCTGAAGCCTGGAGCTTTCTCTAGATCTCCCACACTGGTGCAGGGGCCCAAGGACTTGGGCCATCCTCCACTGCTTTTCCAGGCCATAACAGAGAGCTAGATTGGAAGTGGAGCAATTGGGACTAGAACCGGCACCCATATGGGATGCTGGCACTGTGGACAGCAGCCTTTACCTACTATGCCACAGCACCAGCCCCCAAATCTATGTTTGAATATATATGACAACATAATACCTATGTCTTCTTACTGTCTTCCTCCATTTAATTGTGAAGTCTTGTACATTTATCTTCTGAGTACTATTATGTTTCTATAATCATTTTTCATTACCTGAACCATATTTACTTGGACATGGCAGCCTGTTTTCTTTTTCTGTCTCTCCATCCTAAATGTATGTAGCCTTTGAACTAATGACATCTGACTACTACTATTGCTACTCCTACAAACTACTACTACAGTGTTTCCTAATGTCTGTTACACAGAACCTTCACTAAGATATACAAGGTCCTTCTTTATAAAAAGAATAGAAGATCAATAATTTTGACATGTGGTATATGTTTTGCCAACTTCTTAGGGAGATATATGTGTAATAACATGTCAAAGATTCTGATAGTTCCTTCAGAAAAAGAAACATGTAATTGTATTTTAACCAGTGTCCCCCAAATTTATTTTCCGTAGGTTTAAAATTTTGTATGCTATATGTCTTCCTAAGGAGGCTTTTCCTACAGAGATGTAATTAGAAGTGCTGCATTACTTCCAGTGGGACAGTTTTTTGTATATTAGAAATGGATTTTGATATAGTGTGAGATCTTAGTAGGTTTCCAAATGCTATTAATTAGAAATGTTAGTTGATTTCCTCACTCACAGTTTGACAAGATTCAACCCACAGGATGACCTGTACCTATCAATGTTTTTGGAAGGGTGGGAGGAGGAAGGCAAGCATTTGGCGGAAGATTCCCTGGACACTGAGGAACAAGTCTGCATTGTTACTAGTAACACATACCCTGATGAATGCAGGTAGGTGTGAAGATTTCTTAAGTACGTTATTCTAAAGAGTGATGACTTGAGTCCTTATTGCAATGGAAATGTTTATAGGCAGCTCTACTTCAAAATGGACTTTTTCTAAATCAGAAGAGAAAAATCTTGCCTTAAGCTCCCAAAGACCTGAGTCACTGAAGCAATGCAACTCTAATAAATTGCATACTCTATAAACCAACTTTTAAGGCTTTCCATAATCTGACCAAGCTACATTGCCAGGCTTTTTTTTTTTATCCATAATTCCCCCAAGCATTTGATTGCTGCTCTTTCCTGAGCCTATGCCCTTCCTAGTCCCTTTAACTAAACTGCTTGTCCCTCTCCTTTTTCTGCCTTTTAAACTTTATCTACCTAGGTTAGTCAAATCTCTTTACATTGCAAAAAACATACCAGTTTTAACCAGGTTAAACAACAAATGGGCTATATTAATTTTCAGAGCTGGGGAAGTGTGGTGAACATCAGATATTTTGTCTACCTAGTAACTCTTTATCCACCATTTAATAGCACTTTGGCCTTTGTTTTTCTTGTAGCTTCCCCCTCATTTTCTGCTCAAGAATTCCAAGTGGGACTTTACACATAGCTGTAGGAACAGGTATAATTTTTATCTTAGTTCCTTTAATACCTTGAGCTTTCTGAAGTTACACAACATGTCTATTTTATTTGTACCTATTAAATGTCCAAAGAGTAGGTATTTAAAAAGTTCCATTGAATAAGTAGACTTCACAAACAGGTTGTCCCTGTTGGCAATTAAATTCCAAACGTAGAACATTCCAGGCAGATCATCTTTTTTTAAAAAATAATTATTTATTTATTTGAAAGGCAGAGAGAAAGAGGGACATTTCTTCCATTCACTGGTTCACTATGCAAGTGGCTGCAACAGCTAGCTCTTAGGGCCAGGAGCCACAAATGCCGTTTTGGTCTTCCATGTAGGCGGCAAGGGCCTAAGTACTTGAGCAATCTTCTACTCCCAATGTATATTAGGGGAAGCTTTCTTTCTTTCTTTCTTTCTTTCTTTCTTTCTTTCTTTTTAAAGATTTATTTATTTGAAAGAATTACAGAGCAAGGTAGAGACACAGAGAGAGGTCTTCTATCCGCTGGTTTGCTCCCCAGATGGCCGCAATGGCTGGAGCTGCGCCGATCTGAAGCCAGGAGCCAGAAGCTTCTTCTGGGTCTCCCATGTGGGTGCAGAGGCCCAAGCACTTGGGGCCATCTTCCACTATTCCAGGCCACAGCAGAGAGCTGGATTGGAAGAGGAGCAGCTGGGACTAGAACCTGTGCCCACATGGGATGCCAGCGCTGCAGGCCAGGGCTTTAACCTAACGCTGTGCCACAGTGCCGCCAGCCAGGGGCAGCTTTATTTAAAAAAAAAAAAATTGCTTATTTATTTGAAAGGCAGAGTGACACAGAGAGAGGGAAATACAGAGACAGAGATATCTTTCATCCACTGGTTTACTACCCAAGTAGCCACACAGCCATGTCTGGGCCAGGCTGAAGACATGAGCTGGCAACTCCATCCTGGTCTCCTAAATGAGTGGAAAGGGCTCAAACACTTGGGCCATCTTCTACTGCCTTCTCAGGCACATTAGCAGGAAGCTGGATTGGAAACTGAGTAGCTGGGACTTGAGCCAGCACTCTACTATGGAATGCAGAGGTCCCAAGCTACAGCTTAACCTGCTGTATAGTACAAGGCCAGCTGCAAATAATTTTTTTTCTGGTATATCCACTCAAGCAAAGCACTATTTTGATGACCCCATGACAGAAAGTGAAATCATTAGAAATGAAATCACTTTCACTGGATCCTCCCTTGCTCTTACACATTTGTGTGTACTCCCAAGCAAGATTTTTGTTCCCTCATTTACAAGTCTCAGCCTCTTTCACTGAAAACTTAAGGAATATGGTACAAAAGTAGGTGATGATTGTATAAGTCAACTGTTGTGCCTGGGATAGCCCTATTTTTTTTTTTAATTTTTTTTTTTTGACAGGCAGAGTGGACAGTGAGAGAGAGAGACAGAGAGAGAAAGGTCTTCCTTTGCCGTTGGTTCACCCTCCAATGGCCGCCGCTGCAGCCGGCGCACCGCGCTGATCCGATGGCAGGAGCCAGGATCCAGGTGCTTTTCCTGGTCTCCCATGGGGTGCAGGGCCCAAGCACCTGGGCCATCCTCCACTGTACTCCCTGGCCATAGCAGAGAGCTGGCCTGGAAGAGGGGCAACCGGGGCAGAATCCGGCACCCCGACCGGGACTAGAACCCGGTGTGCCGGCGCCGCAAGGTGGAGGATTAGCCTATTGAGCCACGGCGCCGGCTCGGATAGCCCTATTTTTATGCTTGTTCCCTCTCCATGATTGATAGGGCCCTCTCTTCCCCTCTTTAAATGTCCTGGTTTGCCAAGAAGGTCACCCTATGTGTTATACCTAATCTTTCTCTTCTCATCCTGTAATTCCCCATTTCCATGTTAAATCCAGGAAATTGTGGCCTCCAGTCTAAAATTTGGCAAGATAAGAGTAACATGGTAAAATAAATTTTGTTTAAAGGTTTGCTTCTACTAGGAAAATAACCTATTGCTACTAGGAAAATAACCTAAGGTTAGATCCTAATACAAGAAGTAGATCAATGTTTAAACACACAAATATTTAAGACATTTAACATTTTTCTGATTTATAATGATAAAAGACACATGGAAACATGTTCAAATTAGGTAATGAATTGAGGAAAACAGTGAGTGCCTACCATATGCCAGGTTGTCATTAATCACTTTCATGAGGCTTACTTAATCATTTCAGTCTTTCTATGATGGGTTGGCAAACTTTTAAGAGTCATGTGGTAAATATCTTAGATTTTGTGGTCCAAGAGGCAAAATTCATGGTTCCTATGCAGATATGTATAAACAAGAGGGAGGAAAAAAGTAACCATAAAATTCATGCTGATGAAATTCAAAATATAATAATTGAATACAAATTTTTGTAATGCTAAGGAAAAAACAGAATTGTTTTTGGTGGGAAAGACAGCATTCTTCTCGACTGGAACTCAAAGTTAAGTGTTCTTTACCAAAATCAATAACAAATGCTTATCTGTTAATGCTGGTTTCTAATGATATTTTATGTGTTTTATCTTTGAAAATATCTTTTCATACAGATAGATACTGCCAAATACTGATATGAATCCCCAACTATATGGTTTTAATTCAACATATTCATCACTGGGAAGGCTTTTACACAATTTCATTAGATTCTTCTCTGAACATTTGCCTTTAAGCACATCATTACATTGCAGATTAATTGATTCCAATTGAAGTTTAGGTGGAAGCTCTTCAATTGCACAATCAAATGGATTTTGAAATGTGAAAAATATCTTTGTATTTACATTTAGATCCAGAAAGCCTTGCTAGAACTCTATTTTGAATTCGAACAGCTCAAATATATCTACTGCAAATTTGTGGATGTATGGAGATCTTGCTTCTAGTTTTAGCAAGTATATAAAACAGCTTGAGATTGTTTGTGATTCAAACAAGGTTAGTTGTTGTTGAAATGACTTTACCATCATATAAGTTTGGCATGTAAGCTGTGTTTTGCCTTTTAGTTTTAGTTTTAGAAACATAATCAAATCTGCTGCAAAAGCTAAATTCCAAAGCTGTTTACAGTTCAATAATAGTGGTTGAGGACAGATCTATCAAATACTTAAAAATGTACAAAGCGTTCTTAGCTGAAAAGCTATACAAAAACTGGCAGAGGGCTGTGTTTAGCCTTTGGGCCTTCCTTTACAGAGAATGTTAGTAATTCTCCGCTAAACTGCCCAAGGGCACAAAGCTATTTAGTGGTGGAGCAGGAATTCAAATTTGATCAGGCAGCCTGGCCTCAGAGCTTACTCAATTTGTGACCATGAGGTACTACTAATAAAATAGTGCTAGGGTAGCCAGTAGCCAAATCCTTTGTGGGGTTTTCTTTGCCTAGTTTTTTTTTTTCCTTAAAAAGATCCATTGCACAATATTTATTTATTTTTTAAAAGATTTATTTATTTTACTTGAAAGTCAGAGTTACACAGAGAGAAGGAGAGGCAGAGAGAGAGAGAGGTCTTCCACCTGATGGTTCACTCCCCAGTTGGCCGCAACGGCTGGAGCTACGGAGCTGCGCTGATCTGAAACCAAGAGTCAGGAGTTTCTTCCGGGTCTCACACGTGGATGCAGGGGCCCAAAGGCTTGGGCCATCTTCCACTGCTTTCCCAGGCCATAGCAGGGAGCTAGATCAGAAATGGAGCAGCCATGGCCGGCGCCGCGGCTCACTAGGCTAATCCTCCGCCTAGCGGCGCCGGCACACCGGGTTCTAGTCCCGGTCGGGGCGCCGGATTCTGTCCCGGTTGCCCCTCTTCCAGGCCAGCCCTCTGCTGTGGCCAGGGAGTACAGTGGAGGATGGCCCAGGTGCTTGGGCCCTGCACCCCATGGGAGACCAGGAAAAGCACCTGGCTCCTGGCTCCTGCCATCGGATCAGCGCGGTGCGCCGGCCGCAGCGCGCCGGCCGCGGCGGCCATTGGAGGGTGAACCAACGGCAATGGAAGACCTTTCTCTCTGTCTCTCTCTCTCACTATCCACTCTGCCTGTCAAAAAAAAAAAAAAAAAAAAAAAAAAAAAAAAAGAAATGGAGCAGCCAGGACTCAAACTGGTGCCCATATGGAATGCTGGCACTGCAGGCGGCAGCTTTACCAGCTACGCCACAGTGTCAGCTCCACACAATATTTAATACACACAAAACTAAAAGGCAATCAATACCCATGAACTTACCACCCAACTTAAATAGTTATTACCCACACTTTAAAACCCTTCCATGTAACCCACTTTGATAACCTGTTCACATCCTCCCAGATATTGCCATCCTAAATCTGGTATTTTTCATTCCCATATTTTCTTTTTATTCTTTTTTTTAAAGATGTCTTTTAGGGACCAGTGCTGTGTTGTAGTGGGTTAAAACCCTGGCCTGAAGCACCAGCATCTCATATGGGCGCCGGTTCTAGTCCAGGCTGCTTCTCTTCCCATCCAGCTCTCTGCTATGGCCTGGGAAGCAGTAGAGGATGGCCCAAGTCCTTGGGCCCCTGCACCCGTGTGGGAGACCCAGAAGAAGCTCCTGGCTCCTGACTTGGGATCGGTACAGCTCCATCCGAATCAGCCATCTGGGGAGTGAACCATCAGATGGAAGACCTCTCTCTGTCTCTACCTCTCTCTGTAACTCTCTTTCAAATGAATAAAATAAATCTTAAAAAAAAAAAAAGATGTCTTTTATTTATTTGAAAGACAGAGTTAAAGAGAGCAGGGGGAGAGACAGAGAGGGAGAGAAAGAGAGAGCTTCTTATCCACTGGTTCACCCCTGAAATGGCACAATAGCAGGGGCCAGGGGTGGGCCAGGCAGAAGCTAGGAGTTTCTTTTATGTAAACCCATGTGGGTGCAGTGGCCCAAGGACTTAAACCACCTTCTTCTACTTTTCCCAGGCACATTAAAAGGAACCTGCATCAGAAATGGAGCAGCCGGACTTGAACCATTGAGCATAAGGTATGCTGGCATTAAAGGTAGCAGCTTTACCCATTAAGCCACAATGCCACCCACCCCGCTTTTTTTTCTTAACTGATTCCACTCTGTGTGTATCCCAAAGTATCTAATTATTTTATCTACTTTGCTGTGATATAGGCGGTATACTGTACATATTCTCCTGTGACTTGATTCTTTTCTCCACTCTGCCCTGCTAGAACATGTTTAAATGTAAATTTGAATTGCCCTGCTAGAACATGTTTAAATGTAAATTTGAATGTCTTTTGGTGGGACATGCATTTTTATTTACCACCACACCCTACATTGTATTCATCCATTTCATATATTTTAGTCACCTGCTTGGCCCATTAAGCCATTTGAGTTTGTAACCTCTGCTTCAAGGTGGTCGCATATACCATTCAAGTATTTCTAAGATCTCAGTAGTGTGAATCCACTTGTGTTACAGTGGTATTTATGTTATATGTGATAAAAACTATGTATAAAATTATACCATGTTTTCACCTATATAAATAAGACAAACACAGAAAAAACTAGAAGTAATCTGGCCAAAATGTTATTTCTGGGTGGTGATGTTTAATGTGATTTGTAGACTGTATTAATTATATTTTTCTGAATTTGCAAAATAATTAAAATTTTTGTCAGAAAATATTTAAATCATCTTAAAATCTTCTGATAGGGTCATTGTTTGTCTTTACTCAATCACATTAACTATATTATGCTAACATTTTAACTATGTAACATAAATCATTCAACTCCTACATTATCCTTTTACTTGGTCATTTCAAAATAATCTTGTATTGTCTATAGAGACAATAGTCTAGACTGAAAAGCAAGTGTATTAGCTCTGCTAAATAATTTCACTTAAGCCATATCAAAACAAAGCTTCTTAAACCCTATCTAAACAACAGTCGTTCATGTTGATATAATAGGTTAGGTTATGGTCTCTCTATTCCCTGAACTTGTTGAGCAATAAGTAGGTCTTTTTGATCAAGACAGTCATTTTTTTCTAGTTCAGCATGTGATAATTTACACAAATAAAATACATATTTAAAAAGCCTTGCTTAAAATGTACAGATGTTTTTGTGAAACTTTTTTTAGTTCTTTTTCTAAATTTTTCTAAACTGTATATGTAAGAATAACTTGTTATTTTTGAGTATATATATATATATGATATGGGGTGATCATCTGATCGCCTTGCAAGATATACATGTGTAAAATCATAGAGTCATTTATGAGGTCTCAAATGATGTTATTTAAACCATTTTGATGTATAGGTACTAAACCATCTTACTCTATATCAAGTTCCACTTCATAATTGGCTATAATGAAAGTGCACCTTGTAGATTTGCATTAAAGTTACTATTAAAAGGCTACTATGTATAAGCAATTATAACATATCCATGCAATAGAGAGCTACTCAACAATAAAAAGGAATTATCTACCAACAATAAAAAGGAGTTGTCTACCAACACAGATAAATCTCAAAAACAGGGTGAATAAAAGAAGCCAGGCATTAAAGAGAGTATATTATGTGATTCTATTTAGATAAAACTAGAAAAGATAAATCTAATCTATACCAACAAAAGCTGATCAATATTTTCTTGTGGTGGGGACTTATTGGAAAGGGGAACAAAGGAGTTTTTTGGATGGTTATGGAACTGTTCTGTATTAGCTTGTAATGAACTTTGCATGGATATATACAATAGTCAAATCCCAAAAAAACCATACTTTTTAGAAAGATGTATCTATTTATTTATTTGAAAGGCAGAATTACAGAGAGAGATACAGAGACAGAGACAGAGAGAGCTTCCATTCCTTGGTTTTCTCCAAAATGGCTGCAACAGCCGAGGCTGGCCCAGGAGAAAGTCAGGAGCCAGGAACTCCATCCAGGACCTCCACAAGGGTTGTAAGGGCCCAAGCAGTAGGGCCATCTTTGGTTGCCTGCCCTGATGCATTAGGAGGAAGCTAGATTGGAAGTGGAGCAGCAGAGAATGGAACCAGCACCAACAAGGGATGCCAGCATCACAGGCAGTGGCTTAACGCACAGCACCACAATGCCAGCCCCCAAAACTATACACCTTAAATGGGTCCCTTTATTGTATATAAATTGTATTTCAATAAAGTTGAAAGACAAACTGAAATTCCCCAAGGATTGTATTAACAAAAAGGATGGTCTACCTGGTCTACCTGATACTATTCAGAAGACATAAGCAAGAACTTGCCAGATTTTTTCCTGTTAAAGGGAGAATGCACCACAGTGCGAGAACACAAACAACTCATTTTTAGAGATGGATGCCAAGCTGGATAAAAGTAACATGTGCGTTCCATCAGCTTGTCTTGTCTTGGCTCCAAGCTGACCAAGTGTGCATCTATTTAGCATATCTTAAGGGAGAGTATGCAGTATGGTTATTGTCACTCGGCTGTCTTTTTTTTTTTTTGGACAGGCAGAGTGGACAGTGAGAGAGACAGAGAGGAAGGTCTTCCTTTTGCCGTTGGTTCACCCCCCAATGGCCACCACGGCTGGCGCGCTGCGGCCGGCGCACCGCGCTGATCTGATGGCAGGAGCCAGGTACTTATCCTGGTCTCCCATGGGGTGCAGGGCCCAAGCACTTGGGCCATCTTCCACTGCACTCCCTGGCCACAGCAGAGAGCTGTCCTGGAAGAGGGGCAACCGGGACAGAATCCGGTGCCCTGACTGGGACTAGAACCCGATATGCCGGCGCCACAAGACGGAGGACTAGCCTAGTGAGCCACGGTGCTGGCCTACTCGGCTGTCTTTACCAGCTTCTTATGTGTTTGGTTAGCATGAAACAGTTCCAGAGGATTTGATCATGTCTGGAGTCTCTTACAGTTCCTTAATATTGGGAGCCTGAGTATCAGCTCATGGAACACAGTATCCACACCACCGTACGTAAGTTCTAGAAAGTCTTATCTAGGCCCTCCTGGAATTCAGTGTCTCTTCATTCACATTACCTTCACACACTCTGTGCCTCACAGGTACAGCAATAATACTTCAATTCCATTTCATTTTTCAACTCATTAACAAGCCAATATGGCCAAAATGAAGACTTGGTCGTTTAGGTGCCAATTTAAGAATTTTCTCTTTCTCTGTGTTAACTGGGTGGGAAAAAAAACACAATGAGGGATTTTCTTTTTTTTGCAGTTATCTGGTTATATCTGCCTCGGACAATATTTCACATTTAAATCATTATTCATAGCCTACTTCAGGCAAAGCAAAAAATATTACTACCCCACAGAGAATTTCAAGACTTTTGTGGGGGAATTCTGAAAAACTTGCCAAATTAGGACATACCAACAATCTTGAAATTAGTCCAATATGTTGGTGTGGGAAGGCTTTGCATATAAATTCTTTAATTATCTCTTCTTTTGGCTGAATTTTAGTTTTGTGGTGTGAGAGTGAATCTGAATTTGCACTGCTGCCATAATATTTGATGGCAGTTCCACTTGGCTCTTTTCTCGGCCTGAGTTCAGAGCAATACGGCAGTTCTGTGATGTGGACACAGTTTCCATGCTAAAGCCATCCATTTTAATAAAGTAAAGGTCTAGCCTATTGAGCCTAGTTGAATACAGCTGTTGCATTGATCTCTTCTGATGCTACAGCCGTTGAGTTCATTTCCTTAATCACATTTTCCATACGGGTGAAAGCATGAAGCTGCTTGGTATCTTCCAGGGTGCATGCATTCTAATTTCAGAATTTAATCAAATGGAACTGGCTTCCTGACAGAGTAAACAGAGCAAAATACTGTATCCAGACCAGCTGCCAAGCTAGCAGCCTGAATTTATTTTTCCTTGCTTTGCTAAATGCATCTTGAATTTTTGAAAACATAGTCCAGGTTTAGGAAATTTAGCATTTTTGAATCAAGACCGGTCACCTATAATATTCCTCCATAAATATACCCATTAAATTTTGAAAGTCAAGTAGCAGAGTTAATCCTTTCTCACTTGACTGTGGCCCAATAAGAAAACATTTTACTTTTTTCTATTGGACATTGGAATTGTGTACATAAACCCTTGCCATCTGGGCTAATCTAATAGCAAAGAGTAACTGTAAATCAATCTCTCTCTCTCTATATATATATATATATTTGCAGAGTTATCTATATATATAGTCTTATATATATAGTTAGTTATATATATATATACACACACACACATACATACCTCTGTGCTTCTTGTTTCTCTGAATCTGACTCATATCTAAAATCCTTCTAGGTATTCTCTATGCCATTTTTTAAATATATCATTCCTTACACATTATCAAAGTTTTATTTATAATGCATATCCAATGTAGAAATGAGGACACATCAAAGGAAGTCGAAAGGCAGCTGAGTGGGAATACCTGTTTCTGAAATCAGCTTGTGAAAGAAGGCCTGAGGAGGTCTAGATTATGTCACTAGTTTCTTTGTTGCTGACATTTTTTTAAATCAACAAAGTGGAAATTTTTGCTGCATATGTATCTTTTATTAACCACAAATATTCTGTTTACATAGTGTTTCTTTTGCCCTTTAACCTGGACAAGGGATGACCTTTGGAAGGGCTGCATGTATGGATGGATGTCCAGTGAGGAGAGACTTAGAAATGCACATTTGAGAGACTTAGAAATACAAACCCAATGCATACCACGTTTCTACAAGAACTTACTTGCACCCTAACTTCCTGAAGGCCTTGAATTCCTCCTGTTCACATCCCCAGTTCCTTTTTGAGGATAACTCCTAGTCACATATAACAATTTAGCTCAGCTATCACTTCCTTCCAGAAGGCGCTCATGCTCTCTTCTGTTGCTTCACACTCTAGCCATCCATGTGCTGAGGATTCCCAGATTTCAATTTCAAGTCCGGCTCTTCTCTGAGCTGCACACATTCATGTATAACTGTTTATACTGTTGTCTCTGCTTAGATGGCATCTTTTTTTTTAAAGATTTACTTATTTATTTGAAAGAGTTACACACACAAACACACACACACACACACAGAGGTCTTCCA